TAGAGAGGGAACGACTGCTAAATGGAGGATGCGAGACAGAAAATGCGCGAGGCGGAAAGATGGAGAGTGGCAGACCGGTAAAAAAGGGAAAAGTGAGAACGAAAGAAAGAGATAGAGATAGATAGAAATAGATAGGGAGAGAGAGAGAGAGAGAGAGAGAGAGAGAGAGAGAGAGAGAGAGAGAGAGAGAGAGAGGGAGAGAGAGAAGACTGAAGAAGATTGAAGAAGCTGAGAGAGAAAGAGAGACAGAGAGAAGGGAATTTGGCAAGCGGCACATTAGCAACACAAAGAGCATAGAGCATTTGAGTCATTGAGGTTACCTGCGACATCATTGGCGGCCACGTCGCTGATCAAACTGACCCTTGATCGCAGTTGCTGTTGTTGCGTCTGTTGATGCTGCGGATGCACCTGATGCAGGCTCTGTTGTTGGGATCCCGTCAAGGGCAGGTTACCGGCGCTCGTAGCGGTACTCTCCGTCAGGATCGTCGGCACAGCCGCGGCAGAGGAGGAGGACGACGTGGACGATTCCGTGAGAGGGGCTGTCGTCGCGATGCCGGTGGTGTTGTTGTCGAGGATCGTCGCGGGTTCTTCCCCGCTCTCCCCCGTTCCCGTAGCCATTTGGCCCTCGTGCATTCCAGCAGACGGACAGACAGATGGATAGACAGAGTCCCTCCTCCTGCACGTCGTCACGGCGAGCACACGCGCTCTCTCTTCTCCTCGGAAGAACACCTACACTCTTTTACGCGCTCCCTCTTTCTCTTTCCCTCCTTTTCTCGTTCTCACTCTCACTCTCTTTCTCTCTTCCGTCTCGCTCCGTATCTCCTCAACCTTTCTCACTCTCGCTTTCCTCTCTCTCTCTCTCACTCACTCTCGCCTTCGACGTCTCGCTCGCGCGCGTCTTCCTAGCGTTCTCCTTCTCTCTCCTGCCACCAGTTTGCCTTCTCTCTACCACGCTCGCGCACGTCTCTCTCTCTCTCTCTCTCTCTCTCTTTCCCTTTTTTACTACTACCGCCCCGCGCGCCGGTCAGAGCGCCGTGTCCGACAGCAGCGTACCGAAACTGCACCACTGCCTCGCTTACTCGCTTGCTCGTTCACTCTTTGCTTTCTCTTTCTCTCTCCCGCCTTCAGCTGTACGACGGTAAATCGTCGCAGGACGACGGCATCGCACGCGCACGCACACGCCACGCTTACAGAAAAGAGATACCTCGCACGCGGATTGTTAACCTCCTGTCAGTCCGGGCCGTAAAAAAATGGAACGTTAGACAAATGTAGGTCTGTAGGCCACTTCACTTACACTTTGCATCGGCACGGACACTCCCTTAGTCAAGCGAGCGTCCGGCGCACTGTCGCGCTCTGACAGCGCGAGAACCGCAGGGCCGTAGTACTCGTGTACGTGGCCGCCACGCATACCGCACGCCCGCATGCCGCGTATTTCTCGCTAGGGAGAAATATTGCCAACCGGATCGTTCGCTCTCGAGCCGACGCTGTGTTCACGGTGAGGAACGAGTGATTTAGCCTCGCGATCAGGACCCGGCGCTGTGAGCGCGTTTTTTACGTGAATACGAGACGCGACAGGTTCGAAGATCGCTCGCGTGCCAACCGCGACTGTAGTATCGGTCGCGATAACCGAAGACGGAGTCACGTGAGCGTGATAATTCTCAGCTGTACGAAACGCGCGCATCGCTTCACACTGATTTGCATCGCGCAGAATTACCATCTCAGCCTGCCATTTCGACGATATGTGTGCGTGTGTGTACACGAGGGGAAGAGAAAGAGAGAGAGAGCGCTCTGCGCTTGGCATTACGCCGCATGGGTACGGCAGTGGTCAACGAAAGGGAAATGTGAGCACGAGCGTAATATCGCGAACGCTGGCGTTTGATCACTCGCTCGTGCACGTCGTTCCGGACGACACGCTGTTGCGGCACGAGTGTCGTCATGCATCATCACACACAGAGAGAGAGAGAGAGAGAGAGAGAGATAAAGAGAGAGAGAGAGAGAGAGAGATAACAGAGATAGAGCGAGAGGGAAAAAGAGGGAGAGCGAGCGAGAGTGAGCGAGCGATCGAGTGAGGAAGAAAGAAAGAGAGAGAGTCGTCAAACATCACAAGAGGTTCTCGGCTAGATAGAGGAAGGACGGACGAACGAACGAATGAATGTATGTCGGTTTGCTCGACCACCTTATTACGGGTGCCGCCGCACACCGCACGTTACGGCACTGGCACGTCGGCGAGCTGTCGCGGAAAGACGCAATTTCCAAAATGTGTCCTCCCCCCTCCTCTCGTAGCAGGCCTCCATCGGCATCAATTCGCGATTTCGTCCGACCGAGCGAGACACGTCGTTATGCGACCTGTCGTCGTTCTTTCGCCTAGATCTGTCAACGAACCTCCTCTCAGTCGCTGCTGCCGATTTGCCGCCGCGTCGGATACGACGATAGCTGGCCGGTTTAAGTAGGTCAGCTGCCGCGACGTCCGATCGCCCCGCGCGGGCCGCCCTTTCGCGGCGTACGTTGCATAACTCGTCACGCGCGACTTCACCAAATATAACCACGCAAAAAACTACGGCTTGACGGACATAATGCGGCGGTAATCCGTATTCAATGAACAATGCACTTGACTAACGCTCTCCCGTTTGGCGCGGCCAGCGCCACCTGTCACGAGCGGGCGCGCTCGATTCGAAATGCTCCACTGCTTCGTTTGTTCGCTACGTGTTCTCAGGGATACACGAGGAAATATACGAACGACGATTAACCCTTTGACCGACGAGTTAGAGCTCGATTAACCATGGTTATGTAATTTTAGCGACGGAGAATCAATTAAGAGATATTTTTTTTATCTTTGCGTGTGTGTTGCTTTACAGAATATACATTCACTGACACAGGATTGTATCGAAGATTCACAAGAGAGAACGATTTTACTTTAATTGGTGCAACTACTTAATAAGTCTTTGTTTAATTTTCTAAAGTATTGAAGATTAAAAGAACACGGATGAATATAGCGTATAGTAAAATATTCAAGACGAAATGGAGATATCGTATTGATTAAAGATGTCATTTCATGTAGGGATTCTCAGTAGGTATTCTGCACTGTTAACTTGCTTTTACAATCATATCGTTTTATTGTCTTTATACTTATTGTTTTGGTTTAAGTGATTTCCAAATGAAGTCGTGTAACATTCAAATTACATTTTCACAAATACTTTATCTATGTATATAACAAAAGTGATAATCATAATGGAAAAGTTAAAAGAATGTGACAAAAATTTGTAAATAATTATATATCTGGTACTATCTCTTCCAACAGTTTGTATTATTGTTATACAGTCTTTACATTTATAAATCTCGTAAGTATACAAAAAATATATTGGTATATATATCAACATTTATATAAAAGATACATTTTGTATATCTTGAAATATAAAAATTATGTCCCTTCTCTGTATATTATTGAGTATATAAAAGATATATACAATGTGTCTTATAATAATTACTATAATAATACTAATATACTATAATAATATATTAATTATACCATTGGTTTTTTCATAACATCCAATGTATATATCACAATAATAATAAATATTTCTTATTGGTCGAATTTCTTTCATAAAATACACTAGAAAATTTATTTATATATGCAAAAGAGGAGATAGATGCTTCCATACTTTGATCCATAATATACTAATCTTTAGCTGATTGTTATAAGGCACTTTGCATATTTGATACTGATATTTGCGGCAATAAACAATTTGTAGTTATATAAATCGTGATTGTACAAATTATAAATCAATTTGACACACGTTTCTCTCTTTAATTATTTTGTTGTTTAGCTTGACTAAAGAAGGCGCGTGATATGATCAATCTCTGAATTTGTGCGGTGCCTTCGTATATTTGGAAGATTTTAGCATCGCGCATGAGTTTCTCCACTGGATATTCAGTATTAAAACCGGCGCCACCATAAACCTGAAAAAGAAGATATTGCCACATACAACATGTTGCAAAAAGAACAAATATCTCTTAATTTTTAATGAAGTCTTTTATTCAAATAAATGTATTTACCTGCACAGCATCAGTAGCACATTTATTAGCTACATCAGCAGCATAACATTTTGCAACACTAGCAAGCGGAGTGGCATTCGGTAGCCCTTCATCGGTGGCCCAAGCTGCTCTCAGTGTTGCCATTCTAGCAGTTTCGACGCCAATAACCATATCGGCTATCATAAATGCCACTGCTTGATGCTCTGCTATCGATCTGCCAAAAGTTTTGCGCTCCATTGCATACTTTGTTGCTTCGTCTAGAGCTCTTTGAGCTAAGCCAACTGCCATTGCAGCAACCTACAATAAAACAAAGATAAAGTTAAAATCTTGCAACACATAATCATTTGTCATTTAATGTCATTGATGCAAATTTACACTTGGTCGTGTCCTGTCGAAAGTTTTCATAGCTATAGGGAAGCCTTGTCCTTCTCCAATCAACACGTTCTCTTCAGGAACGCGAACGTCTTCAAATGTTATCATCCGTGTATCAGATGCTCGTTGTCCCATATTTAATTCCTTGAGAAATTATATGGAGAAAAACAAGTGATACATATTACTAAAGAATTAATAAAAAATATTTACACAAACTTTCAACAAAGTTAATTAGTGTTACCTTACGGCCAGGAGTCACACCAGGGGTATCACGATCCACAATGAAACCTGTGAAAGCCTTACTAGCTGGTGCTTTTGGATCAGGATTTGTTCTTGCCAGAACAAAGTACCTATATAACAAATAGTTATATAAGAAAAAAAGAGAAAGGAAATTGTAAATTCTACAAAAGTTACTCTTACGATCAATTCTTTCAGATAAAATTTAAAGGGGATGAAAGAATTTGTATGTTTGTGTATGTGTAGTTATACAAAGTATACGTTAGGAACTAATATATTTTACAGTACCAGTTAGCAACACCACCATTCGTAATCCACATCTTTGTCCCATTGATTATCCACTCCTTTCCTTTCTTTTCAGCTTTAGTTTTAATACCCGCTACATCAGATCCTGCACCAGGCTCAGTGACACAATATGCCTATAGAATTAGTATCATATAGTATAGTATATCACATAAAAATTTTGATTATATAAGTTTATATTTAGGTTAAGTTTACCGCAACATGTGGTTCTTCTATTAATCTTCCAAGATATTTCTTTTGTTGTTCTTTATTTCCAGCTATGATAACAGGAGTTTGCTAAATAAATGAAAGAATTTCAATATTTTATTAATACATATTGAATCTATTAGAGTACTCAATTAAAAATTAGAAATTAATATGATTAAACTTTTTACAATAAATACCAGCTTTTAAAAAATTAATTATTAAAATTTTATATCATAGAAATGAGATATTTTATGTAAAATGAAACTTACTCCAAGATTTGTTGTAGCTATTGCAGTTCCTATTCCTGTACAACCATATCCAAACTCTTCTACCAACAAGCAACCATTAAAAACACCATTTTCAAGACCACCTATGACAAATTTTTATTTCCTTAAACTTTAATATTGATAATATTATATCTATAATATACAATTTTAGATTTTTTATATATCATAAGTCTATAAACAAAACATACCACAATGTTGTGGAATATGTGGATTCAAAATACCAATGTTCCATGCTTTTTTGATAATATCCCATGGATATTTTCCGCTTTTATCATATTCTGCAGCTGACGGCAGGATCTCTTCTCTGCAGAACTTTCGTGCTAGTTCTTGAATTTCTTTTTGAGTATCAGATAATTCTAAAACAAATTAGTTCAAAAACATGATAAAATATTATATAAATTGCTATATATATTTATATATAATTGTGAATGATATATGATTAAGAATCTCAGTATATAGAGAAAAGATTTAGAATATTCAACCAGTTATTTTCTTATGTAATACTATGTTAACAGTATATCTTGGAAATAATATATAAAGATATAAACAATATATCTGAGCTCACATTATTTATCTACATGTATCAATTAATTAAAGATAAAGAATAAATAAGATAAAGAATCAAAGGTTTCTGCAAATATATTTATATTCTCTATATATATATATATATATATATATATATATATATATATATATATAATTTTCTATTTTAAGAAATTTTAAATCTTGTTTACAAAAACTTCCATATATGTGGTATTTTTTCTCTATAAAATATTGCAAGTATACTAACCTAAATTAAATCCTTTAATCGTCTCAGCAGCTGCTGAGAATGGTCGCATCATATTTAAACACATTCTGGGATTGAACATCTGAAAATTGATGAATGAGCATATATTTACTTACATATGACATATTTACAATCTGTTCATTTATGCAGGAATGTAAATATTTGCATTATCGTATAGTAATGAATTATTAGTCAAGATTCTTTCGTTCTTAATGACTGTAGTATAAATTCAGAGATTTATGCTGCAATTCTAAGCAGAATGTAAGTCTCGTAAAATTCGTCAGAACTTATGAGTAAATTTACAAGTCATGCAATGTCATGTCGTACAATTACTCGTACATATTTACGATTTCATGTAATTTATGATATTTACAAATGATTGTACGATATATGATATTGCATAGACTTGTAAATCTACTCTAATCATAAGTTCTGACGAATTTTACGAGAACAAGTTACGAGACTTACATTCTGCTTAGAATTGCAGCAGTAACTATCACTTATGATAAAGAAAATTAATTCCACACTTGCTTTTCTTTTACTTACTTTTTTGAGCATCATATTGAAAATATTTTGTTCGTGACAACAATGATAATATTATTTTAAGTTTTATGCAGTTGCTAATTCACACAGTAAGTAACACAGACTGGATGATGACGCACAAGGAATAAGTTCTCTATATTATCGTGCTAAATTCGATAACCTAGAATCGTACAAAGTTCAAGATACATACAAATAGTCTATTTTTTCGGACCATTGGACCCGCATCTTTAGGGCTATCGCACACAAATTGACATAACTGCACATGCATAGCATAAGACCGTATGTACCAATGAGCATCGAGTATTAAGTCGCCATATTGGTGTTCGATGCTTAATATTCGATGCTCATTGGTCCATACGATCTTATGCTATGCATATGCAGTTATGTCAATTTGTGTGCGATAGCCCTTACTCCTACTAGAGATCCTAGGTATTTACGTTAGTGAGGGTGCGAACCCATACAGCGGAATAGCAGAGCGCGGAACGGGAGCGGAACCAATCATGAGCGTTTTCGTTGCACGGATTTTCAATCCCTAAGTATCCATGGAGCGGAATGAGCTTAAGCACGTAACTGAGTAGCACGTAACTAAAATGACTTTTAAATTAACGTTTTATTATTCATTTTTATTATTATGTATATAAATATTTAATTAAATGTGTTTTGTATTGGAAATATTGACTGAAAATGTTAAAATTTATAAAATAAGTTTTAAGGCGGTTGTAACTTTTTGAAATAATGAATTAATTTTGAAATAATGAAATTGGTTAAATCCGCGATGTGCTTATTTCGCTCCATGGGAACTTAAGAGCTCCTATTTCAATGCTAAAAATGACGGATTTATATATATATATATATATATATATATATATATATATATATATATATATATATATATATAT